AGCTCTCTGGCTGCCTTGTTGTAGCAAGGCAGTATTGATGGCAGTAGCAAGAGAAACACTACTGTTCACCATTGTGGGAAAGAACCTCTTCTGCCTGAGACTTTTTCTTCTCAGTACCTGGTCCAGATTAGAGTCCCAGTCTTCACTAAGCATCATACTGAAAAGTAATTATTTTTACAAGGAAGTACGTGGGAATAACACATCACTTCTTGCCTATGTAATTAAATTAGATATAATTCACAAGATTAAAAGCTATTGGCTCCATTCTTCTGGATTAATATAAGTAAATGTGTCACTGGTCTTACTGAATTTGAAAACAGCAAAAATTTAATTTAGTCTGACACCATATGCTAATGCATATGGCCAAAATAGCTTTCAAGTACATTAGGAAAATCCTATTGGTCTATCCATTGTTCAGAGAGACATAATTATATGGCCTTATTCCTAAATAGGAATAGGTTGGATTTACAAGAAGGGACAGAATGATCAGTTTCATTGACTTGGTGGCCTTTGGCTAAAGTAGAGCTATAAACTTAAATTCCCTTATGAAAAATGCTATTATGAATGGCTCACACTTCATGAACTTAGTGATGGTCATATAAAGCAATTTTCAAAAACATCCCTAAGAAGTAATAGCCTATTGTACTGTTTGCAAAGCTAGCAAATGTTACATCTTAGGAAATGAAATGTCTTTGTCCTGACATACAGAATGTCCTTCTAGCATTATTCTAAACAGTCACTGGTTAACAAATGTAACCCTATTTCTCCGAGCCCTGGTCTTTTCAAATGCCACATATCTAAAAGAACATTGGCCTTCTAAATGCACAGCCCTTGGAGTAGTCTTGGAATATAGTTCCAACTAAGATAGTTTCACCCTCTTAAGTATTTGTTATTAATATATCCGGGTCATTTGTTTATGTAGTCCTAGTACTTTCTTGATGAGAGGAGGGGAGCATAGGAGGGGAAACTAGGCGAGGGGAAGGGAGGGGGAATGGAGAGACAGACACAAAGAGAGAACACCACATTGTTGGAATATGTCGGTGGGAGGGAAGGAACAATTGAAGTGACTAACACATTTCTAAAAACTATCAAGTGATTCATTTGGGAAGCAATACTCAGTACCATTGGGAAAGAGAAAGGAAGATTGGAAGAATCCCGTTATGAGGTATTGTTCACCCTATGTGGAAAGAGACTGAGTGAATAACCAAGACAGCCTAGCAAATGTCAGGGGAGAATGGGTATATCTGTTTATGTGGAAAACACATGGGACTTACCCCATGACCTCTGTATGTGGTGAAACAAGTAGAGAGTAATTTAACTACAATGGAAGAGGAGAATGTCAAGAAGAATCATGGATTTACAATTATGAGGGAATTTTGAAATAGTTTATTACATTTATTGTAATATTATAATATTATTGATGCATTTATTACATTCTGGACGAATATCAGTAAATGTGTCACTGTTCTTACTGAATTTGAAAACAGCAAAAATTTAATTTAGTCTGACATCATATACTAATGCTTATGTACTACCTGACCAAAATAGCTTTCAAGTACATTAGGAAAATCCTATTGGTCTTCCCATTGTTCAGAGGTTTTACAGATGAGAAAACTAGGACTTAGAAAGTTGAATGACGTGTTTAAGGTCACAGAGGTTGAAAGTAGCAGAGGCAGGATTCAAACCCAAATCCCATGCTATTTCCATTAAGGCATACTACTTCCATTCCAGTAGCGGGGTATAAATGATTAACCTCAGCTAAAAGCATAAGCCTTTGGCAACGTTAGGTGGAAAACACCCAGTTTCTCTTATTATTTAAGGCCTATGAAGAAAAGTGAGCAGTGTTGTGATGAGATGAAGGTTTTGAGACTCAGGTGATTGGGGTTTTAGTCTCTGTACTGCTACTACCTAATCTGAGTAACTTTCATACAACCATTTTTATCTCAGTTTCCTTATTTGTACAGTGAGGAGCTCAGAATAGAAGAACACTAAAGTCTCTCAGCTTTGACAAATTTATGCATTTATGAGATATGAGCTTCACAAAGTAGCCTGGAGACATCACCAGGCCAAGGGATATACAGTAGGATATAGAACATATAGATAGCAGGTTTGAGCTGTGCAATGACTCGTGGAGATCCCACAACTCTTGCATCCAGATTTATCTACAACACTTCCATCAGAAGAGAATGATGCTAGGGGCAGCTAGGTGGAGCAGTGGATACAGCACCGGCCCTGAAGTCAGGAGGACCTGAGTTCAAATCTGGACTCAGACTAAACACTTAACACTTACTAGCTGTGTGACCCTGGGCAAGTCACTTAACCCCAACTGCCCCCCCCAAAAAGAAGAAGAGAATGATGCCACAGACATTGTTAGATCAATCCTACTGACTGAATTCAAACCAGCAGGAGCCATGCAGTTGACTTTGATGGAGAAGCTCTATTAGCCTGGGGTTCAGATTTATATCATAGTCCCCATGCAGGAAATTTCAATGTTGATGAGAAATGTTCATGATACCAAACTTTTGGACTCTGGAGTGTGCATTTCCCTGATTGAATGTAAAATAGTCTTTGGTTTATGAGCTTTTGGTTGCATCTTAATCAGTATAAGCAGAAAAGTTAGTGTTATCTTACCAGGATATTCAGCAGAATTGTAGACCTTCCCAAGCTACAAGTGTGTGCGTTCACATAGATAGAAATTTACAAATAAATAAAAGCATAACTAGGATGTTTATTTTGCTGGTTGTTTGGCACAAGGGTTTCATACACAGAAAAATAATGACCAATGAATTATATGCATACCCTGGCTAATGTCCTTTATTGATTAGAGCATTAGTAGATTGTGTTTGACTGGACACTTCTATTCTCAAATTGTTTTTTATGTCATGATCTTTTTAAGATTTTTAACATAACCAATTACATTAAGCACTCTTTCAATTAGCCTAGGGTAACAAAAGAATAAAAATAAAGATTATTTATCACACCATCACGCTAAACTATAAGATCATAGATGCAGAATTTCAGGGTTTTTTAAAAAGTCATCTAGTTTACTATCCTAATTTTACAAATGAGGAGTTACAGTGGATATAAATAGATGCTAGCACATAACCAAAGATAACTTGCGCACAAGAAGTAGAATAAAATTCATCATGAAAGAAAAATATGATAAAAGAATGAACTGGACTAGTCACATGGCAAGAATGATGAATGGATAACTTGAATGCTGTATGAGTCCCGAAGAAATATCAAAAGACCCAGAGGAAGGCCTCCAGTGCATTGGGCATATAATCTTCAATGTGTTGCTCTTTCCACTGTTTGGTGGGCTCCTTTCACAGCCTCCATTTTAAGTTAAACATCCAGGTCAGGCATATCTTTATCGTGTGTTCACACCAAAGAAGGCACTGTGTGTTCCATCAGGAAAGCAGAATCACAGTAGTACAAAGGAAAATGTGAGATGGGCAAATCTAGAGACATCTCCATCCCAAATGTTCAAATGGACTATTTGTGTCCAACCTGTGGTAGTGCCTTGTGAACTTGTATTAGACTTATCAGCCACAGTCAAACACACTGTACCTTGACCCCAACATCATGATGTCACTTGTCCTCTTCAAGTACGAAGGATGAAGAACGACAACCTTTTTGGGCTACTGGATTTTCTCTACCATAATCTGGTACTTTCTCCACCATGCCCCAACTTGAGTTCTCTTTTCTTGCTTCCATTTTCAGCTCCCTTTTTTGTGATTATTTCTGTCATTAGAATGTAAGCTCTTTGAGGACAGGGACTGACTTTCTATTTGTATTTGTATTCCCAGATCTTAGCCCAATGACTAGCATGTAGCAAGCACTTAAATGCTCACTGACTTGAGTCTAGAAAATTTATGAAAGACATGGACAAGAAGGCATGGATGAGTTTCCATATGTACCATTAGGAAGGATTGCCCACATCAGTGAAAGAATTCATTCATCAAAATATCAGAGAGATGTAGAAGAGATACAATTTGCTAATTTGTTAACTACTGGTGAATTATGGTTGTATCAGTTTGATCCCATGTAAAATTTGTCACATTTGTCCAGATTTGGTAATTCCTGGGGCAGAGTGTGAGAATAATTCCTTAAATTAGACTATAAATTAGAATATAATGGAACATTCAGAGATTAAAACTCAACTTTCTTGTGTCTATTCATTCTTAGGGATGCAGAATGGTAAAAAGAAAGAGCACTGAACTATGAGTCACATGGTTCTGTTATTATTTGTTTTACTTTGGGCAAGTCACTTTCTCCTCAACTTCAGTTTTCTCACCTAGGAAATGGGATGTATAAGCTAAATGATTTTTAAAGTTCCTTCTAGCCCTAGCAATTTATGATCCTATCATCCCAAATACTGGTTTAGGAGTCAGGAAATTTGTGTTCTAGATTTTTACCAATTACTAGCAATATGGCCATAGGCAAGTTCCATTCACTTCTCTAGGCCTTAATTTCATCATCTATAAATTAAAGGGGTTATAAATATTGAAAGTGTCCTTTCCAAACTCTAGACCCTATGGTTGTCTTGAAAGCAGTATTGTTATTGTGTTCTTCACACTCACCAAAACAGTGTTCATCTCTTCTGATAAAATGTTTCCCAATTTCCTCCTGTAATTCCCTTTCACAGTTAATTAGCTTACCACACCAAGATAATCAGGTTGATAAATCTCATAAGAAAAGTTAAACTTCAGGGACAATCTGGATGTGAAATCTAGTTGACAAAGATAGTTTTGCTTAACATAACCTTTGTTGTAAATACCGGAATGAAAGTTCACTTACCTTTGGTGGGGTGTGGGAGGGTGTTAAAAATGGGCGCAGCTATATTAAGCTTAAGCTGTCCAATTAAGATTTTCTAGTCATCATTAGAATTTTCATGGGAAAGAGATATAGCCCTCTCTCCCACACAAAAGGCAAAATGTATGTGTTTTAAGGTACAAGAAATTTAAGGTACAGGAAAAACAAAAGCTGCAGTCACATACCGTAATCCATAAAGAACTGTTCCATCAGGATGCAGTCGGATCATCCGATTCTTTACTGTAACCCCATGCACAAAAGATTTCTTGTCGTTCAGGAAGTATGTGTCCGGCACCCAGAGCTGGTCTGCTACCCTGTTGTCCAGAGTGAGGTTTAATGGGATTCCAGAATAAGACAGTCTTTTGTCTTTCCATGACTGCTGAAAATACATTGTAAGTGTATAGTCCTGTGAAGAACAGAGGGAACAAAAGAGAAAACTTTTTAACTGACTTTTTATATCATAATCAAAGAGAATTTTTAAATGAGCTTAACTGCTCTTGGCATTATTTTGGTATCCAAAACTAATGTCTGCCCTCAAATAACTTAGTCAATAAAATTTTATTAGTGCCTACTATGTGTCAGGTACTGTGGTAGGCACTGGGGTTACAAAGAAAGGCAAAAGATAGTCCCTTCCCTCAGGGAGGTCACACTCTAATTGTGGTTGGAAGTGGGAGAAATAAGATATATAAAAAGAAGCTGAAAAGTGTGTGTTGGTAGGTGCCCAATGAAACAGCATGATGAAGTTCAGAGGAGTGTATCTAGGTGGGAAATGAAGAAATGGCTGCCCTGGACACCCTCTTAAATTGAGGACTTGGAAGTAGCTCTCCACAGCACACCCTCAATTGTCTCAAATTAGGAGGGAGGAGCTCCAGGTTCCTATGGAAGTACTGAGGAAAGGTGAGTTTTAGGGCTGATAGGATCTTGCAGAATGATGAGGTTCTTGAGACCATGAAGAAATCTAAAAGAGTGCAGCCATGTAGAAAATTATAAAAAAAAATTACAATATGAAACTGAGATGTAGAGATCTCCCCCTTCCCTTTTACTCCCCTATGTTTAAGGTATATAATCTAGAATAAACACATTAATCCCATACATAAAAGGATAGGGAAATATTTACCTCCTATAGATTTAAATGCATTAAATGGTATTTTAAAGTTTAAAGTCAAGGTAAGTACATAACTAGAGTAGAAAATGGGAAAACAATCAAATAATACCATGTCCAAATTGGTCATATTTTATCACCTTTATTATAAGCATAATAAAATTCCAGGGTTAAGAATGGACCTCAGAGGTCATTCAGATCTGCTTTTATCTGAACAGCAATCCTCTAATATCCCAGAAAAGTGTGTGTTCAGCCTTGACTCAGAGATTATTAGTAAAAGGGAACCCACTAACATTAGAGAGACAGCCCATTCCTTATGGTAGTAAGTTTTTTTTCCCTTAGGACATGAATAGATTTGCCTGTCTACACCTTTTATCTATTGGGCCTAGTTCTATTCTCTTGGATAAATAGAAAAAAAAATTTAATTCCTTTTACATATTCTAGTCCTTCAAATACTCGATGACAACTATCATGCCTTCCTCTCTTTCAACTCTCATCCCCACTCTCAACCTTCTCTTCTTTAGGCTAAACATTCCTCGATTCCTTTAAGGGGTCTTTTTATAGATGGAGCTCTTCTGACCACATCTGGATTTCTATTCTAGATTCATGAAACTTTGATAATGTATAAGATATGAAGTCAGGATCAGTACATAACTGAGTTTAGGGAGGAATAATTGAGTAATATATTATGTCAAAACTAGATGTAGTGCATCATAAAAACTTGGCTATATAATTAACCATATACAATTGGCACATGTAAAAGGAAAGATGCTGGCAATTCTCAATTTACGTAACCATGGCTTTTTATCCAAGTTCTTTATGTACAAGTGGGCATCTCAAAGTAACCATCCAATAATAGTTTCCCTGTGGCCATAGGAATTTCCCATTTGTATTTTTCTGCTGTTCCTCTCTAAGTCAATTCCTGATTATATTCCTCCATCCTGGGCCACTCCAAAGTGGGGCCAGAAGTAGTAGGGGGACAAGTGGTAGCTAAGGGAAAGAGGACAGAAAAGGAAAGGACAAAATGTAGAATTTTTAATGTTTTTCTTACTCCCACCCCCTACGTTGTCTTATTCTTCCCTAGCAGCCTCCATAATCCCTGACCTATTACAGATTGTAGGACAGAGTTCAACACTTCTGAATTCCGGACTTTGAATCAGAAAGACCTGAGTTCAAATCCTGCCTTAGGACTTTACTAGCTATGTGATCCTGGGCAAGTCACTTAACGTCTTCTCAGCTTCATTTTCATCACTGATAAAATGGGGATAATAGTAGCACCTACATTCCAGTGATGTTGTGAGGATGCAATGAGAAAACAAATAATGTGCTATGTAAATCCTTAAGAGGTATATAAATGCCAGCTATTATTATACCTATTATTGTCAGGATATTTCCAACTTAGAACCTGAACCAAAATCCTATCCTGATGTCTCATCTTGGCATGCAAATTACCTTGGGCTGTCAAAAGATATGTTGGCAAAACACAAGTCCTGGGAGGTCCTACCAGACTGGAAACACCTTGGGCAAGGAACTATATATGTGTCTCATCCAAATGCTGGATTAGGTAGGTTGTAAGAAGCTAATTCCCAAGAGATTAGGCATCAGGTGATGCTTTTCTTTTTGGTCACTGCAACTCATAAAGACCATCTGATAATGTGTAGGTAGATTATAATCTCCATGAATAGAGAGAGTATCCCCATTAAGAAATTCAAGGGAATAACTGGCTAGCACAAAGCTTTACACATAGTAGGTACTATTAAATAGTAGTCACATGGATTTTGGACTAGATGAGCACTCTGAGGTCCCTTTTCAATTCTTGTCTTCTATAATTCTGTTGACAGTGGAAAAAAAAGCCAATTCTCTCTGACCCATTCTAAATATTGTGTCATTTCCAATAGAGCCAGAAAGAACAGCCACAGCTGTGTTAAGGCCTAGAGCTTCTGGCTCTAGGCTTTGCCTTAGAATCCAGGCCTCAGTGTTCAGCACAATCAACAACGCAGTATAAATTTCAGCACTTGCATTAAATTCCCATTAGCTTGCCTAAATTATCATTAGTGCTAACAAGGATTTCCTCAAAATGAGACTAAATAGTGAATTGTTTCTCTCCAATTTTTCACAGTAAAGAAGTGTTTTAATGTGTGATGGGGGAATAAAGCAGTATGAAATAGAGAGGATTATAATGGTAGCAATAATATTGTAATAATAAATGGTAATAATTAAAATGATAACTTTGTGGTAGACAAACAAAGAGAGTGAAATGGGGAAAATGCAATAATGTATAAATGGGTAAATTGTGTATCACATTAATCCCTTTCTCTCTCTGGAGACAGTTGTGTTTTCCATAGAGATGTGGAAGTTTCTAAGTCAGTTGTGCCATCTTTGTTTTACACAGTTCCCAATGGGGCCTCATGCTGTTTTTTTTTTTAACAGTGAATAAAAATCACCTTGTGGCTTTAAATGAAAACAATAATTTATCTCATTTGTAATAGGAGGGAGGACAGTGAAACTTTTTTTTAAGGCAGCACATAACATTTTGAAGTGAAATGAGGTGGGACAAAGATGTCTTGGGATTGCAATTCCCATAAACATTTCCATAAACCAGGTGCTTACTGCTTTGTGCTCAGAGGGAGAGAACAAATCACTGAGCCATGAAGAATTAGTTGCCCTGATCTGTGTTTTGAGAGGAGGTGGAGGAGAAACACGAGAGAATGAATCTATAAAATGAGATACAATTTAGCTATAGCATTTGCACCGAGACAGAATATGTAGCATACCAACATATATTCGCATACATCCAGGAAATGAACAGTTTTCAAAGAGCTCTCCCAGAATATTCTGTTGTTTGACACTCACAATAATCCTTTGAGGAAGGTGGGCATGGGGGTGGGGTATGAAAGGATTATGTGATTTATGTATTGGAAAAACTACTTATGATATTTTAAAAAGAAATTATTTTATCAATGAAGTGATATCATGATGTTAATTTTATCAATTATAGCAAAATATATAAGGCATCGGGGTACAGTAGTTAGAGATTTGGCCATGGACTTGGTTCAAGTCTTACCTGACACCGGCTTGCCATGAAACTGTGGGCAAATCACTTAAGCTCCTGGTGTGTCAGTAAACCCTCTAAGACAATAAATTAGAGAGAAGGTACCAACCTTTATTGGTAGATGAAGTTCCTTATGCTTATGAAATCAGAGGAGCAGTTCCTATCTATATATTAGTGCTTGGGTGGATGCTGTTTCAGAATTGAAAATAAAGGTTTTATGGTAATTTACTTAGATATTTATTATAATGAGCTTAGCCTACCTTGGTTAGATGAGATTTTTTCCCCTAAAAAGAAAAGGAGCCATCATTGAGGAGAGGAATATACCCGTATTTATTTTTCAATGTAAAGTGTGAAAATTATTTTTGTGCTGCTAGGATTTACAGATATTGAATCTAATATACCCATGTGCAATCTACTCCCTGAAAATAAGCTAGATGCTTTAGGAAGCTCTGAGAAGGCTGTCAGACAATAAGGTATTCTTTAATACACTGGAGCAGAAATGCATTAAATGGTCTGGAGTTCATGCAATTTGTCAAACTGTCTGACTTAGGCATGGGGAGAATCTGACTCATTATATGAAAAGGAGGATAAAAGATACCAAATTGTTTGCATTCAGTGAAAGGCAGAAAGGGTAGATACAATTTAGACTCAAAAATGTTGAAAGATTCCAGTGAAATATTAATACTATATAAAACTTTGCTTTTTGGAAGGAAGATAACATCTTAGTTTTAGATTCCTTTTTTGGACAAAAAAACAGGCTGCTTCTTACAATTCAAAAGCCATTTGAGAGCTTTTTTTTCCCATTCAGTAATTTAAGGGAAAACATATTTATGTACAGTGTTGAATTATAGTTATGAATTCAATCCAGCATTTTGCATAGTCTACAGAAGTCTAAAAGTGTCTTCCAATGTTTGGATTTTAAAGCCCTTGATAACCTGGCCCCTTCCAACCTTTCTAGTCTCCTCACACCTTCCTCACCTCCATGTACTCTGTGATCTAATGATACTGGCCTCCTTGTTCTTCCTTGTATACAATTCTCTCAGTACTTGAAGTATTTCCACTGGCTGTCCCCTGTGCCTGGAGCACACTCCCTCCTCTTGGCTTCCCTGGCTTCCTTCAAGTCTTAGCTAAAGTCCCATCTTCTGCAAGAAGTCTCAAATCCTCCTTAGTCATAGTGTTTTTCCTCTGAGACCACCCCAATTTGTTGTGTATACATCTCGTTTGTACATATGTAGTTGCTCTCATATTGTCT